GGGAGGGATTGGGGGGCACAGGGTGGGGTGGCAGCGTGGGGGGCAGAAGGTCAGGCAGGCCTGTCGGATACGCATAGGGAAACATGGCGCACAAACCGTTAGTTTCCTCTGTTGTTAGAAAGGGACATGGTGTGGCCCGTAGAGGCCTTGGGACAGCGAAAGCAGGGAGGGGAGCGAGGGGCAGAGGTTAGTAATAAGTGCTCCCAGGTGGGGCAACGAGCAGAGCACAGCCGCCCCCGAATGAGTCCGTGGAGCCGGCGGATGCTACCCACAGATGGCCCAGAGATGAGTGGATGAAGGGTGGGAAGGTGGCTCCAGAGTCACCGGAGGTCTGGGTCAGGTAGGGAGCAGAAAGTGGGACCTCAGAGGTTGGGTTTTTCTTCATAAGTGTTGTAAGATAACAAAAAATGGGTTATATTTGAAGGGTGTTAACCAGTACATTTTAACTGACAGGGGTTTGAAAACCAGTATAGGCCAAGGAGAAAAATACATTTCAAAATGTAATGAGTTGGGGTCAAAGCTAGGGGTGTATATTTTGAAATGCAAATAATACTTTTCACTCTGGCTAGGAAGCCTGTGCCTCAGGATAGGAAGTGTCTGCTGCTACCATCCCCAACCCCATCTACTGTAGTCTTAAGACAATATAATTTTGCCTATTTTTTGTTGTATTTTGTTAAAGCGGTCAAGTTTGGTATGTAAAATTGCCTGGGCATGTTGAACAGTAGAAAATATTTACTGATTATTTAAAGAATTTTGCTGACGTTTCTATCATCGCATTTGACTAGGTGTAGAACACCTTTAGTGCTTTTCACTAAAAATGGTGAAATGTGTTGAATAAGATGTTTACCAGAGTATTTATTACATATCATTTTCCGTTTTAATTTCTTTTACTCTTTGCCTTTTCTTGACATTTTTTATTCTTTATAGTGATTAATGGTGTATTTTTCCATGGACTGTTATAATGCAGTTGAGATTAGTACTGTAATTCCAAAAACAGTGGTCCTGATTTTAAGATACTATTATTAAAGTAAATAATCATAAAGGTTGATGTAAATTTGGCTGAAAAACTATTTATAAACTAGTTCTCTGACATTAAGTATACTTGAATCCAGATTTTTTCACTGCAGTGTAGGAGATTTAAATTTGCTAGCAACTGCAGTAACTATAGAAATGTGCTTTTGCAGTTCTTTCTGTTTAAAAGGATACAAAACTTGTAAGCGACTTGACAGTAGAACTGTACTGGGAGTCACAGGGCGGTGGGGAGAGAGGCTGTGATAGGTAATTTCCTTGTACAAATGCAGTTCCAGTCGGATGATAGTTTTGCTCATTATGAAATGCAGTTTGGATTCAGTGTAGAAATTGGACCATGGTTTTTAACTGAATTAAGGGGCAAATTTGCTCAACTCCAGTTGAAAGCAAAAAATGGAATTTCCACCTGATACAAAAATTACGTTGGTGTTTGTTTCCATCCTGAATTGAATAAGAAGTCAAAGTATCAAAAATCATTTTTGAATGAAGAGTTCCGAGTCATCATTGAGTTAATCTCCTTCACTTGACTACTACTCTCAAGACTTGTATGGCTGTGTCAGAAAGGAGATTGCATCAAGGGAGCTGCACTTAAAAAAGTGTCAGGTTGGCTGAATGGTCTAAGGTGCCAGACTCAGGACCTAGCTGTGGGTGGGTGTTCTGGTCTCTGTATGGAGGCATGGGTTCAAATCCCGTTTCTAACACAAATGTTTTCACAGTGGCAGAAAGAGATCTTGGAGTCATTATCGATTCCAAAATGAACATGGGCCGCCAACGTGAGGACGTGGTCAGCAAGGCCAACCCCTCCTTGTCATGCATCCATAGATGCATCACAAGCAGGTCCAAGGAGGTGATCCTCCCTCTCTGTGCGACACTGGTCAGGCCGCAGTTGGAGTACTGCGTCCAGTTCTGGGCACTGCACATGAGGAGGGATGAGGCCAGCCTCGAGAGGGTCCAGAGGAGGAACACTAGCATGATCAGGGGGCAGCAGGGCAGGCCCAACGGGGAGAGGCTAAGGGACCTGAACCTGTTCAGTCTTCACAAGAGAAGGCTGAGAGGGGATTGGGTTAGACACTGTTCCCCTGAGCACTTCCCAGAGTAACAAGGAACAACATCCAGAAGCTGTTTGGGAGTAGGTTCAGGCTAGACATCAGGAGGCACTACTTCAGAGTCAGGGCGGCCAGGATCTGGAACCAGCTTCCAAGGGAAGTGGTGCTGGCTCCTACCTTAGGGGTCTTTAAAAGGAGGCTTGATAACTACCTAGCTGGGGTCATTTGAGCTTAAATTTAGTAGGGGTCATAAGAGCCATGTACTCATTCCTGCCCAGGGCAGGGGGTCGGACTAGATGATCTGCTCAGGTCTCCTCCATCCCTACTTGTATGAAATTATGAAACCATGAAGTCCAGCCACCAAATTAGGCTGCTGAGAACAGGAGCAGAAAGTACTTGGAAGTACAGCTCCCATGAGGTACTGCACCTCTGTAAACAAGTTCATGTTTGGTTCAGTTCAGCAAACCAAAATATTTCAGTTCAGACTCAGCCTACACAACACAATATTTTTAGTTTTCCAACAGGAAACTGATTTTTTTGCTGGGAAAAATCCCAGTAATGAGGAACAAACACATTCTTCCCCCCCCAGCCCTCCCTCAAAACAATGTAAGTGGCAAGATCTGATTTTAACTAAAGTTCTTAATGTGTATTTGTAGTAGCAGGTCTTTAAATATAGATGTGATATATTATATATTTATCTATGTTGGCATTTTATTTTAAAATATGGAGCAGTATAGCATGTTTGTTCTAGTAAGTATGATATACTATGATTTGAAATTTACATCCTTTGAAGAACAATTGGATTAAGCCTGAACTGAGTATCTGAAATCTGATATCTTTTGCCCAGTTTAGTCTGTGTGAATCTTTCCTGCACTGTCAGATGATGCATCAGGTGTAAACCAGGTTTCACATCCTTTGTCTCTTCTGGCTGTTCTTTTTTTTTATTTGTCCTATTAAGTACAGTAAAGTTTACCCCCTCTAAGTAAGTGTTTGGAGGGATTCTTTCAATTGGACCCTTTGTGTTACTCCAGCTACTCAGTGGCATATCTGCCATGGCAGAAGCTCCTAATTCTTAACACACACACTAAATATATTTACCATCTTTTCTGGATGACACTAGAGACACAGGGTAGTTAGATTCTGATATATTTTGAGCCTTGTTATACATTAATTAAATGTAAAACTTATTATTTTTCTAAGCAATTTGGATATCTTTAGAGGTGCACTGATACATCGGTCCCATATCAGATCAGCACCAATATAAGGAAAATTGACTGTATTGGCAATGGCTTTCTTTGACTGATGTGGCCGATAATGTGATAAATGCCATGTGCGCGTGCACAACCGCAGCGCAGCATGTAGGCAGCCAAGAGTGCAGCCTGGTGGTGTGGAGAGCAGACGGGTCCATCTGGTAAGTCTGTTGTGGGCGGGCGGGGGGGTGGCGGCGGCGATTGAGGCCCCAGCGAGGGAGGGAGTGGGGCTGGTGCTGTGGCAGGGACAGGTGCTGCACAACTGGGCAGGGCAGAGGATGGAGCTGCAAGAGGCTTGTCTGGGGGGTACAGGGGGCCCCCCACTGGACACACCCTGGGGGGGCATGGGACCATTTCCCCCCAGATCTGTGCGTTGGGTGAGGGCAGGCTGCCGCCGTGGGCTGGGGTCAGGGGTGGCACTTGGCTCTTCCTGGCAAGGGGATGGGTTGGGTTGAGCTCGGGGTGGGTGGCCGTAACCCCCCCCCCCAGTGCTGTCACTGCCTGCCCCGAGCCCAACCCCAGCCCAGTCCCCTGCTGAGAAGATCTTGGCGG